TATTGAGGAAATAGAGAGTGCAGAATATTTAAATATTATATAAGATATTTGTATGTGTTCAGAACCGCGTCCCAGAAAAATAAATTATATTCACTTTTTTAAATTGTTTCATTGTTTCTATTGAATTCATTTTGTTTTATTTGTTTCCATTTAATCAAATTTACTTTTAATAAAATCGGCTTTTTGATTGGAGCCGATAATAGAAAACTGAAGCGGAAGAGCCAAAAACTCTTTGTGCAGAAATGTTGTTATTCAGCCGATTTTCGCTCTCATCGGGCAATGGTCGTGTCCTAGTGATGGGTGTAGACCAGTGGCGTAACAATCGCCATAGCGACCCAGGCGGCCGCTATGGGGCCCGGGGCACAGGGGGGCCCGGCCAGATGCCGTGTGGGTCGCTATGGCATCTCACGCTGCTGGCTTTCACTGGCGGCTGTGAGAAGAATGCGCTGCTGTTCAGATGCACTGACCTGTGCAGCCGCGCGTTCTTCTGACAGCTGCTGAGGAGTCAGTGAGAGCCAGCAGCAGCGGGGGAGCAGGCTGGACCCGGCAGTGAAGGAGGAGGCGGGGCCCCTTGTCGACAGCAGGGGAGGAGGCGGGTGAGCCCACCATAGAGAGTCTATGGTGGGCTCTGCAGGGTCACCCTCAGGTGGGCTGTGTGGGATCTCAGGTGGGCTCTGCAAGGGGTATAACTAGAAGTCACAGGGCCACAGACAAAAATTTTGCTATTTCTAGTTACGCCCCTGGTGTAGACCTCTCCTGAGTGATACATTTTAGGAGAAGTACTGAAGGGATGAAAGTCCATCTAAACCCCAACGGATGAGGCGCTACCTCATAGAACGCCAGAAAAGTTGAGGAGGACGAGGCTGCGCACATTTATCTCATATAACAGGAAGTTATCTGCACAATTATATATATATCGCTTTTTTGGGGATTGGAGATCCGTCATCTGTGGAGATGAAACCCCCGAGGACAAGAAGAGGTTACATAGTATATGAATAAAGACACAGGTCCATCGAGTTCAACCTTTGTGTGTATGTAAGAGTCCCTGTCCCCCTGTATGTAAGAGTCCCTGTCCCCCTGTATGTAAGAGTCCCTGTCCCCCTGTATGTAAGAGTCCCTGTCCCCCTGTATGTAAGAGTCCCTGTCCCCCTGTATGTTCCGGTCTCTGAGGAAGGTATGTAAATGATCCCACACTCTCAGCTGATACCACACGGCTTGTAGAAGAGAGTTCCAGATTTTACCGCTCTAACAGAAAAGAATCCCCTCCGCCCCGTGTGGTTAAATCTTTATTCCTCCAGTTTTAGGTGGCGGCCTCTCGTCTTTGTTGGGGAGTTTACAGTAAACCGTTTATTGCTGATATTAAACAATCTGTACATCAAAATCATGTCAAGCTTAAATTTAGTAACCTTGTCTCATAGCTGTGGCCCTCCAGCCCCTCCCCGTCTCATAGCTTCCTCCTTGTCTCATAGCTGTGGTCCTCCAGCCCCTCCCCCTCCTTGTCTCATAGCTTTGGTCCTCCAGCCCCTCCTTGTCTCATAGCTTTGGTCCTCCAGCCCCTCCCCCTCCTTGTCTCATAGCTTTGGTCCTCCAGCCTCTAATTAGTTTAGTTGCCCTTCTCTGGACCCTCTCCAGGACGTCTTTTCTGTGGATTGGGGACCAAAACTGGACCGCATACTCCATGTGAGGCCGAACCAGTGATCTATAAAATGGCGGAATTATCACTTTGTCTCTACAGAACAGGTTGAATGGACACAAATAGGCCATGTTGGGGGGGGGGATGATGGGGGTGTGCTGGCCCCGTATCGTTGGCTAGATCTTCTTTAAAGTCATTGGCCCACGGTATACATGTGACAGCTCCAGGGGTTATAGGCGGAGAGAGCAGATCCCTGGATACTCCTCCTGACTCCACCTGTCAATACCGCCCATGGACTCTCTCTGGTATCAGGGCGGCCGGCCGGCTCAGGGGGAAGCGGCTCTGCCTCTGGTGCTGGAGACCCCGGATCGAATCCCCCCGCAGGTCACTTTATCACTGGGCCCCCGGCTGTGGAAAAGCCTCTACAGCTGGGAGCTCCTTGGACCCCAAAAAAGCAAGACCCTCCTTTATGGCGGCTGCCGGGTCACAGACAGCCGCTTTATATTGTATAGTCCTAGTCATCCCCATTAACAGGGACCGGCGACTATTCCAAGGAGCCAGAACCAGGAACTCCAACACCACTGCCGGATCAGCGCCTGGCTGCTAACCCCCTGAGCCAGCTCTCAGCCTGAACATCTGAGCCTCATATCTCAATGTCTTCATCGGGTCCACACAACACACGGGGAAGAAATCAAAGCCAACGCTGGGATCAGAACCCAGAACTCCAACCATCGCACCACAGAGATCCCACTCCCGCCATCACTGGGATTCGAACCCGGGACTCCAAAAACCATAGATGATTGTCTGGCTACTTAGTGACTGAGCCACACACACCATTACCGGATCAGTACCAGGCTGCTAACCCCCCCTGGGCCAGCTTATCTGAGAGACGCATCTCAATGTCTTCATCAGGTCTACACAACACGCGGGGATTGGAAGAGACCAGAACCAGGAACTCCAACACCACTGCTGGATCAATGCCCGGCTACTAACCCCCTGAGCCAGCTCTCAGCCTAAGCAGCACAGAGACGCAGCACGGAGAGACGTACCAGAGAGACGCAGCACAGAGACGTACCAGAGAGACGTACCAGAGAGACGCAGCACAGAGAGACGCAGCAAAGACGCAGCACGGAGTCGCAGCACAGAGAGACGCAGCAAAGACGCAGCACGGAGACGCAGCACAATGTCCTCATGAGGCCTAAACAACACACGAGAATAAATGAAAGCCGACGTTGGGATTGGAAGCCGCCTCGGAGACGATCATTAAACTGACACTGAGAGAATATATTGTATAACCGCCGGCATCAGGATTCGAACCCGGGTCCCCAAAACCAAACCCAACTCACCTGCCACCTAACTCCGCAGGCCGCATCGCAGCGTCGGAATGTCGGGTAGGGACTTCGGATTTGTGAAGTGATTATAGATTTTGGCTTCTGGGGATTCAGATTGAATGGCGGCGTCCGATCAGCGGCCGCAGATGAAAGTATGTTGCGCTTGGCCACAAGTAGACGATCCTCCCGCTGCGGCTCCTCCTCCATATATATGAAAAGGGCAACAAACAGGAAGTGAAATCTCTCTGATGGGACTTCCGATCTCAGGGTGACCCGTATACGCGGCAATGTGATAAAACAGTTGAAGTTTGTTTTTGTTTTGTTAAACGATCGCAGAGCAGCCAAAGACATAAACCAGACGGATCGATCGTTTCCAAGGAGACGGGTGAAAAAGAAACTATTCTGAATCAATTCACTGTCCTGCTTCTAAGTCACAATCAACCCAGTTCTGGGGGTCAATCAAACTTGATTGTACCTGCGATGGTAAGTGGTTGAAATTGACTGAAAATGGCTACAAGTAGGAAACAAAATCCTCCATATAAGAATCAATGTAAACCAGACACAGCGAGTGATGACTTGTGATGGGCCCGGGCGTGTTCGCAGCTCCATGCGCCGAGCACGCCAGGAAGCTGATGACAGCGGAGGCCTGGCCCTAGCAGCGCAGGGCCCCAGCATTGCAGCTTCAGTGGCTTTGAGACAAGCTGGGGCCCCAACAGCGATGCTGCTCGTCTGATGTCGGACTGGCCGGAAGTGACGTCGCTTCTGGCCGGTCCGGTGCCAGACGAGGCCATGTGTGCAGGTAAGAGGAGCTAGGTAGGAAAGGAGGGGAGGGGGGGGAGGGATGCAGCCCTGACCAGCCCACCTGAGACCCCTTCAGAGCCCACCATTGCACCATTTCGTCTGATGTCGGACTGGCCGGAAGTGACGTCACTTCTGGCCGGTCCGGCGGCAGACGAGGCCATGTGTGCAGGTAAGAGGAGCTAGGGAGGAAAGGAGGGGAGGGGGGGGAGGGATGCAGCCCTGACCAGCCCACCTGAGACCCCTTCAGAGCCCACCATTGCACCATCATACACAGTCTCAGATGGGCTGTGCAGCATCTATGGTGGGCTCTGCTGGGTCACTCTCAGGTGGGTCCTGTGTCCAGCGCGTCACTAAGCCCTGCGTCCAGCGCGTCGCTAAGCCTTGCGTCCAGCGCGTCGCTAAGCCTTGCGTCCAGCGCGTCGCTAAGCCTTGCGTCCAGCGCGTCGCTAAGCCTTGCGTCCAGCGCGTCGCTAAGCCCTGCGTCCAGCGCGTCGCTAAGCCTTGCGTCCAGCGCGTCGCTAAGCCCTAAGCCCTGCGTCCAGCGGGTCACTAAGCCCTGCGTCCGGAGCGTCACTAAGCCCTGCGTCCGGAGCGTCACTAAGCCCTGCGTCCAGCGCGTCACTAAGCCCTGCGTCCAGCGAGGGGGTACCGGCCTAAAGCCGTGTAAGGGGCCCCAAAATTTCCGATGGCTGCCCTGGAGATGGGGACCTTAGACTGTAAGCTCCTTGGGGGCGGGGACTGATGTGAATGTGCACTGTGTAAATTGTCGGCGCTCTATAAATACCTGTAATAACAATACTGAGTATCATCAGCCAGTAAATCAGAGACAACGGGGCCCATTCACACCTTTGTGCGCCGCGAGTCAGCGCATTGGACTCCTCATGGGCAGGGTAGCGGTCGGTGGTGCAGAATTCGGGTGTTGTATTTACTTTCTTCGTTACATTGATACGTTTCATCTACAGATCAGTTCTCTCGGAGCCGCTACAAGGTGGACAATCTATTTATTAGGGAAGCAGACATGTTACTATGTGGCATGCAGAAAAAGAACATTCTCCTCGCGGGCGGCACCGGGGAACCCTAAGTCACATGTTAATGTTTAAGTCGGGGCGGAGCTACAATGTTAGTCAGAAAAACGAACGGATCTCCCGAAAGTGTCCGGCGCCAGGAAACCCCGCCGTGTTATTATGGGATTTACCAAAATGACAAATCTTAACCCTGTTGAAAAGAAAAGAAGTCCACCGAGGGCAGGGGTCGGCAACCCGCGGCTCTAGAGCCGCACGTGGCCCTTTCATCCCTCTGCTGCGGCTCCCTGTCCCTGAAAAAGTGTTTGAATGCTTGACCTTCTGGCGGTCACACATTCCACCGCCAAAAAACTGGGCGGGATTGCAGTGAAATGCTTGACGACGCATTTTAACGTAGTCACAAACTTTGATAGAACACCGCCATCAGAGGGGTATGGCCGGTAATCATGTGAGGGGTCTGGGGGGCCTCCTAAATGAGTATCAGCTGTATCAGGGGCGGCATGGCAGAGGTGACGGGGGAGGGGATGGAGGAGGCCGGGCCCCAGCAGCAGCAGGTAAGAGGAGTTGGGAGGAGGTACAGGGAAAGGGACCCCGGCGCCCAGCCCACCTGAGGCCCTGCAGAGCCCACCATAGAGAGTATCAGGTGGGCTCTGCAGGGTCTCAGGCAAGCCCAGAGTCCAGTGCGTTACTAAGCCCAGAGTCCAGTGCGTTACTAAGCCCAGCGCGTTACTAAGTCCAGAGTCCAGAGTGTTATTAAGACCAGAGTCCAGTGCGTTACTAAGTCCAGAGTCCAGTGCGTTACTAAGCCCAGAGTCCAGTGCGTAACTAAGCCCAGAGTCCAGTGAGTTACTAAGCCCAGAGTCCAGTGCGTTACTAAGCCCAGAGTCCAGTGCGTTACTAAGCCCAGAGTCCAGTGCGTTACTAAGCCCAGAGTCCAGTGCGTTACTAAGCCCAGAGTCCAGTGCGTTACTAAGCCCAGAGTCCAGCGCGTTACTAAGTCCAGAGTCCAGTGCGTTACTAAGCCCAGAGTCCAGCGCGTTACTAAGCCCAGAGTCCAGTGCGTTACTAAGACCAGAGTCCAGTGCGTTACTAAGCCCAGAGTCCAGTGCGTTACTAAGCCCAGAGTCCAGCGCGTTACTAAGTCCAGAGTCCAGTGCGTTACTAAGTCCAGAGTCCAGTGCGTTGCTAAGCCCACAAATACCTACATACATGCTATACGTGGCATAAAGGTAAAGAACAATACATGACGTGTTATCTTCATTTTAGATGTCAAAAGGGTTTTGTGGCCCCCGGAGTTTTCTTTTCTGTGGGAAACGGGTCAGAATGGCTCTTTGAGTGATTAAGGTTGCTGACCCCTGCCCTAGGGGTACGCCCCTCGGTGGACTTCTTTTATTTTCAACAGTCATTATTTACCATTGGGGTGTGAACTCGCGCTCTCCCATACACACTTGGTGCAAAGAACACGCCCACTAAAAGCTGTCTCTAACTATATCCGAACCCCCGGACAGTTTTGGAAGACCCGGAGCAGATCTACGATGGCAGATTCTCATATGAACGTTGGTTACGGTTGGCCTAAAATCTTTTTCAGAAGATCGCATGTTTTGCTGTGAATGACCTCGCGCAGCTTGCGCATGCGGCGGGCACTGGCCGCGCCGACAAAGCTGTGCGGTTGCAGGACGGCCATGCCGTTCCGCGCGTCGCCCATGATGATGAGCTGCCCGCCGACGGACGTCACGTTGGGACACGGGCAGCTCCGGTCCACGTTCAGCAGCGTGATTTCCAGCGGCTGCTTCCCGAGAAACTTGAGTCCCATTCTGTCGTCTTTCAGGATATCCTCGACGGAGACCAGCGCATTGCCCGAGTCCCGATCCTCCGTCAGCTCCATGACGCGCCCCAGGATGGCAAAGTCGCTCCTGCAGAAGCTGGTGACCAGTTTCTGCCGGGGCTTGCACGCTTTGCACTTCTGGTTCTTGGGGAACGGGCACATGTCCTCGCAAGTCTCTTTACTCTCGAAGTTGTTTTCGTTGCCGCCGCACCCGCCGTAGATGAAGGACTGGCACTGGCTGAGTAGTTTGCTATAGGCCCACCTCGGCTCGTAGGCCTTGCAGGGTCCCTGCAGGGCGGGGGAGTTGCAGAGGTTGACGGGCCCGTTCATGCAGGTCGCCATACACGACTCGTACGTCTCGAAGTGGTTCAGGTTGCTGTTGCAGTTCCCGTACACAAAGGTGAAACAGTTGTTCTTCTTGGCATCAAAGTGCCACCGCGTCTGCTCCTCCCCGCAGTCCTCGCTGTCCGGCGGCTTCAGACACTCGTCGGTCGGAAAAAAAGCCTTGTTGGATTTTTCCTTGGCCGGCTGTTCTTTGACCGACAAGGGGAAGTTGACCTTGACCAGGCCCCCGGTGTTTTTGGCTACGCACACGTAGACGCCGGCGTCCTGTAACCGGGCGTTGTAGATGACCAGCTGAGCGATGTTGGTGACCACGATGTTTGCGACCACGTGGTTGGGTCGCATGACCAGGTTCTCCTTCCCCTCGATTTCCTTCTCCCAGGTTATTTCGGGTTTGGGTTTGCCGGCGACGTCGCAGTGAAAGCTGACGGTGTCTCCCACGTGGACGGCCTTGTGAGTCGGGTCGCTGACCAGAGTGGGCGGGGCCACATTAACGACGGCCGCCTCGGCGGAAGGGACGGTCGGGTTGGCCGTCGTCTCGAAAGGCGCCGGGCTGGTGTGGGGCCAGGGCAGGTGATATTTACAGGTGACCGCGGTCAGGGCCACCCCCTTGGCGCAAGCTTCGGCATCCATGAAGCATTTGTTGTAGTAGGTCAGCCCGTCGGAGGCGCACGTAAAGCTGGGCTCCCCCTCGCAGCGCTCTCTGCATTTACAGATGGGCTGCCCGTCCCAGAGGTCGCACCGGGAGCCTTGCTGGGGGCACATGAAGAAGTCGCACGTTGCTTCCCTCGGCATGCCGACCGGACCTCTCTTTCCTTTCACATCCAGGTATCGGGCGGCCACGCAGCTCTTTGCCCCGCAGACATTCGGACAACACTTCTCGTAAGCCTCACATTCCTACAGAGACACAAATCGTGTTACAAGCGTCACATCTCAGGAACACGTCATCTTTAAACTAGGCCTGGTAATGATTAACATTCTCGTGTTCGATTAATGATAACGCACATACAGATCCAACTACAGCGGCGTATACACATACAGCACAGCAATGACCTATACACATACAGCACAGCAATGACCTATACACATACAGCACAGCAATGACCTATACACATACAGCACAGCAATGACCTATACACATACAGCACAGCAATGACCTAT